ACGTACCGATGTTGCATTGTTTATTTTCTCTATTTTCTGCTTGTTCCATGCATAATATTCATCATTGAACTTCGCGACAATTCAGATATTCTACATCCTATTCCTCATTATCTTCAGTAAACTCCTGCTTTGCAGTATGAGTGTGAGTTTCTCCTATTACGATATTTTCGTTTGCACAATGGTGATATCACTTCTTTCAGAAGAACTTAAACAGGTAGGCGAAAACACAATATATATATATAATTTCTTTATTTATCTAACCAGCATTTGGATTGTCTTTATGTAAGATTGTGGTGGGTATTAAAAGTTGGCTGGGAGAAAAGAGTATGTTATCCATCGTCTAGGTGACTCTTAATCAGAAATATTTGCATTCTACAGTTTATCTTGGATAAAAACTATCGTCGCCTTAGTTTGCTATGTCTGATCCCAATTAATCTCATTCAGTTCTTCAAATGGCTTTCGCATCCAGACTGAACTGCAGTTTTGGCTTTGTCTGACGGGATTCGAAATCTGCTCGTGCTTGTCAGGCTAAAGTATTGCCACATTTTCAAAAGCTTTCCGGTACAATTGCATCACAGGGCAGGTGTGACATTTAAGGTATGCCAGACCACTCCCAATTCACCTTTTTAGAGTGGGATTATTTCTTTATTCAACATTGAAGGCGGTGATATGCTATACGTATGGAGTATTTTTAGAGAACATTAGTCGATCTTGATTAAGGCCTCGGATTGACTTGAGCGTCACGTCTGTCCTGTGACACATTGGCATCAGTAGATGTGTGGCGGAGTGGTGACGAATGGCAACTTGACGCTCAAGACCTGGTTTCAAGTCCTGTTGGAAGTGAGGAAGGGAGCAAGCTCTGGTCCAAATTGCTTAACGTCTTAAGCGAGATGGCCTTTTCTTGAAGCCCATTCATGTCTTTGTTGAAAATTCGTTAATCAGCCCTGCCTCATCAAGCTCAAGATCTTCTTTTACTTTCGAAGCTTGAAAAAATCGATTATGCAATCTAATTCGAATCTTTATGCGGCTAGGTCAAATATGAATCCTTAGAACTCTTTAAGCAACTTAAGGCGTTAAGGTTTTCACTAGAAAATTAATGATATTTTCCAGCTATCTTACGGACTTTAACTAAATTCTTATTAAAGCCAAATAAAGTTAAATCGGCGCAGGGCATATTTGCCTCATTTAACGATATTCAGCTGGCAGTCAGATTACATTTTAGGTGACCTAAAGTGCTCAAAGATCTATTCAAGAACGATTTGCTTCAGCATGCCTAAAGCATGTGGTTAAAAAAAATGTTTCATAAAAAAAATAACATGAAAATGATGGTTGCCGGCTTATAACAGTTCAGACTGGTTTCTTGCTGGCCCAGGAGCAAGTTTTCAAAGGCTGTATTTAAGAGAATGTTTGATCTTTAAATAGAATTTCACAACAATAAATCTCAAAGTGCATTGTTTTAGGCGGTTTCGACCTCATTCCATAAGCTTACCGACATCCCAAGTGAGACTCGAACCAAGAGTATTTGATAAACACTGTAGACTAAGATATAAAGACCAAGATGGTGTGGCCTTTTGTGTGGTCGCAGTCTCCTTTCGTTGTATAGAAGTTG